ACGGGTAATTCAAATTGTCGCCGCCGAAACAATGACAGTGTCAGATGGAAGGACTTGAGACTGCGACTTCGACTGCCTTCCAGAAATCGATTGCTATTTATGTTTTATGAGACGTAAAATGATTGAGCCAAACGGAAGGCGGCAATCCAAAAAATGCCAAATAAAAGCGGGTGGTTCGGGCAGGGGGCGGTGGTGTTTGGTGGGCGGTATCTGGTGGGTGGTGTTTGGTGGAAGTGGGCCCGAGACAGCTGCAAAAGTTTATCGCCAAGGCAGACCGCATTAAATGCGGGACACACGCACACTCACGCATCTCGCCGTCAGATAAAGGCGTACGTTTGTACATGTAGTGTGCAATGCTTATGGAGGACGTCCGCTATCGGGAAAAGCGTTTTCCCGACGTTGATGGCGGGCAGCGGGGGCGGGGGCGTGCGGACCGGGAAAAGCGTGTAAATTACAGCCGCCAGTTTTTCTCGTTCTTCTCGTTTTTCGGCTCGGCTCTTTGTGTGTATCTTGAAAAGTTTGGCGTGTGTTGTTGTCATGACGGCTATCATCTTAACTTGATGTGGTGTTAAGCTTTGTTGCTGTTGTTGCTGCACTCGAAATGATGAACTGACAGATTTCCCCTTCTTAACGACCTTGTGTGTCTGTGTGTGAAAGGCCTTTTTCTTAAAGTTTCTGCCACACTCGGCCTCGACAATAATCCCAGGAATTGTAATTGAAAACTGCGTTCCACTAATTAATCTTAATTAGTCAGCTCTGTCTTGTCCCCATTCATCGATCAAGCAAATGCCCCCGCATACGCATAGTGGGCTATTGTAGCGCTAATGACTAAATAATTGATCGAAAAGTAATCCCGACTGAGCATAGAAGAAGAACCGCCAGCCGTAATGCAGCTTTTCAATTTGCTAGACCAAAAATGGCGCTAAGCGGCTTATGGTCGCATATGTGTGTGTGTGTGTGTGCGGCTAAGTGAATAAAAATCTTTTTGCACAATTCATTAAACGCAAATTATGCCCCAGAGATGGTGCTGCATTGTGCCGAGCTGCCTGCTTTTTTCGGAAGGTATTTGTTTGCGCGGCACACGCGAGGCATACGAATTTTATATGAACTCGCACAGAGAACAGAATGTCCGAAAAGGATTCACGCACACATGCAAAACAGGATTCAGCGGAGGGAAAGAGATGGAGGGGCAATGAACCCGAAGGACACGACTGAATCAAGGTAATAAAGCCGCCCTTTGCCCATCTTGCCACTTGTTGTTGGGGCGCCTAACAAAACTTTCGCCCGCCGGCGGAGGAAACGGTCACGATATAGATAAATACAAGTCGACAGGACAATTTATTGTCACACTTAGCGCCCGACCAGAGCCATTGTTATGTAAAGGAGCGAAAGGTAAGAGGGTAACGGGGCGGATGCCTTTTGGCGTTGCGTATACGCACCATCGGCAGCAACTTTGAGGCGCATTCGCATTGACGTCACGTTGCAGGCGTGTGCGTGTGTGTGAGCTGATTTGAACACCAGCAGGTGGCAACTGCTGCACAAGGTTGCACTTGAAAAAATTTGACAGCCTTGAAATTGAAAGGAATACAACGCAGAGAAAACTATCCAAGAACATTGTGCTTGAATTGAGAACATTCGTTCTTAAAAACCGTGTAAGTGCATTTTGGTCTCAATATAAGAACGAAATGGTGAGTAGAGAAAAGTTAAATTGAGTTTATTTAACTACTTTTTGATAAGTATACACTAAGGACTGAACTAATACTTTATTTGTACATACAATGTACTTAAATACCGCCAATTCAACTTGACTCGAGCAAAAAAAAAACATTTTCAACTTAAAAATGTGGTTTTATTTTTAAGAACATTTTCAACTCAGATGAGGACGTCAGATAGAAAGATAGAAAGATACATTTTTATACAAAAAGATGTACTCTATAGTTTTGCAATATACGCCACTGAAATCCTTAAAAATTATGTATGATATTCTACAAAAATCATATCTTATAGAGATAAGATCTTAACATCGCTAGATGAGCCTAATAAATAGAGCCTGGAGTCCAACGTCACTCTGTCTTGCCTACAATCTTTATAATTTGTATCTAGCCCTTAGGCCTATGAAATTGTGAGCTATTTTTAATTGAACTCATGTTCTTCCTCGTTTTGTGTCTGTGTGACTTGTTGAAAAAAGCCACGAGCTTCCCAGACCCAGGATACTTTACTCATGGTCTTATGGATTGACGGTTTAGTCAAATTTTAAAAAGCAGTCCGTGACCCTTTCTTTTTTTCCGTGTGGCCAATACACACCGACCTTTATTCCCGGTGCAATGGGCACGTGCTGGGGATAAGCAGTCCGGCCATCGACTGAAGGACACGCATCCCTGCTCCGATTCTCCTTGTGGCTGGTTCTGTGAGTGTACGAAGCGTTTTATAGCAGGATGGTCATGCAATATGTATAAGCTGATTGCCGGCAGTCATAGTCCAGGAACAAACAACCGACACAATTACGGCAGCAATCTTAAACAATCATTGACAGCCTCCTCGTGCGCAACTATTTTCGAACAGGTACGTACTCGTATGGCACTGCCCACCTTTTCATCGCTTTCTCCGTTGTCTTTGCATGTCAAAGGATCAGAGCAGCCGTGTGGCCTGCCCCAGAGATAAAAGCTCAAATTGAAATTCCAATCGGGTGCTCCATTCGGGCCAAAGCCGTGCCATTGCCTGCCTTTTATTCGCCTTTTGTTGCCCCGGTCGCTGTTCTTGTTTATTGAAACAACGGAGCAACAATAAATTTTGTAGCGCATACTTCAAATGTCAAATGCGGCAGCGATAAAAATTTCTTTATTGTACCGCACCCGAACACTAACGCACATACGATAACACATGAAGTTGGCCAGGACTGGCGGCCCAATGCATTCCCTTTTGGCCTGCTCGGACTCCTCCGAACTGCTTGGCTTTGACAGTTTTTGCAATTTATATTTATTTCGAGGGCTGCACAAACCGTCGGATACGCATAAGTAAACCGACCCAGCCCCCAATCACCCGACCCTGCATAAATTAAGATAATCGCGTTTAGTTTGGCTTCCACCTCGACTTCGACTTCGGCTCCGGCTGTCAGATACTTGGCTGCATAATTTATGGCCCCGTGAAGTGGCGAAACCTTTCAACGGGCCGGAACTTTAATTTTGTGTAATTGAACTCCAGCTGCGGTATTCCCATAATCAATGTTGACATCTTCAACGGGTTAATGGCTAGCTGTTCGCCTAATGAGTTAATGCTCACGATGCCCGCTGACAAGTTCGCTTCCACTGGTACACAGTGGAAAATGGGTTCTACAATCCTAAATTCAAAACTAGAAATATTTTAAACCAGAGTTGTAGGTGCCTTTAAAGCGCAATGTTAGTGATGCGTCTACCTTTAGCGTGGATTCATAAAATTACGCCCATAGAACCGTAAAAGTCTTCAATGGTTTCTTTATCAGTAGGATTGTAAGTCCGTTTAAGAGGTATACAGTGGAAAAGTAGAACAATATAATATTGTAAATGCGATAGTGATTAAGGAATTGTGGAAATTACTTAGTCAACGGAAAATGGCCTTGACTCTAATTATAAATCTAATATACAATCATGGTACCAACAAATTAAAGCAAAACGCTTTATATTATCTAATATTCCATTGCACACTTGAATTTATTAAAGAAATGGTCAAATTTTCAAATTTGTTGGCGCTGGGCAAGAAGTAAACGGAAATATAATTCCCCCGATTGAAATGAACATTAGGCATAGCGACATAAAGTCAGATGACAATACCGACATTTGTGTTTCAGTGTACTCCTAGTCCGTGCGAGTAGTTGGCTGAAAATGCCATTAAAGCCCGATGGAACTGAGCTCTTCACTCGATCATTGAACTGCAGTTTCGGACTGAAACTTGGCACAATTCCGGGTAGCCAGGATTATTTGCATAAGTATGTCGATTCGAGCTGGACGAGTTCATTGCAGCACGTGCCGCCCATGCTTAAGCACACATTGTGGTCACAAGCCCTTTGACCTTTGCCAAACAGGCAGCTCCTCTGACCGGTCTGGTTATTATTTTAATGGCCATTTGAAGTGGCTGCTGTTGTTGCTGTTGGCAATGACCAGACCATGATTTTAATGCCAATTTAATATAATTTTTATGCTCGGCCCTGGCCCAGGCTCTAAATACGTGCCAAACGAAACCGAATCGAATCGCATCGATATTGCCGCAATGATTTGGCGTATTTAATCGTGAGCACAGAGGCCATGGCAGCATATCATGCTGGGGATATTAAACGTAAATCGATCGACGTTTTTCCACCACCAACCAATGCGAGGGGAAAGCCAGACTGACATTTGGTCAGCTCAGATTTTGTTTTCCTGTTTTCCTGTTTTCCGCAGGCAAATTGAATCCGCGCTTGTGGGCATCACAATTTATGCAAGAAATTAATTTTCCACTGCCCGGCAGCTCAGGCATAATAATTGAAGGCAAACATAAGTTGTCCCTTTTTGCCATTTGGCCAGACCTAATTAAATGCAGCTGAAAACAAAAACCCACCGTTGACTCGCTCAAGAAGGCGAGTGCAAATTGACAAACTTTTTGGAAACTTTTTGAGTGGTAGCTGGCTGGGGGATTCAACATGTGGAAAGAGCGTTTTTTAATTAAAATTTTCTCACATAAGGGAAATGCCGCTGATGAGGCTGCCACTCGTAGTTAGTTTTCACTGTAATTAGCCGAGTTGTTACTCGAATTCAGCCGCAGTTCTGTTCTCCCACCTCCCATTAACATACATTCCCCTAATTGCAGGGGAAACTTCTTCCGGCTTCAAGTCTTACTCACTCAGACTCACAGCCACTTTTCATTAGGGTCATCAATCAGCTTTAAATAGTCCTGTATTTTTGGGTTAGCGTTTTTATACAGATTCGAATTTAAGAGATTATAAACAAACATATTTTTAATTTTTTTACCACAAAAAGTAAGGCAAATTGTTTTGTAAAATGAAAAATCTTTTTTTTTAAATCAATATCATTCCCTTTCAAGAAATCCCCTCCCGAAGAACAACTTTTATGCCAACATTTTTTCCAAAACTCGGAACAAGCCAAATAGCACCTTCTTCGATAGCTGAGATGTTTAAATTGCTATCGATGCGAAAAGTTTTCTAGCATAATAAATGGAATTATGAAATGCACAATGGAGCTTTTAAAAATAATAATAGAATAAAAGAAGAATAAAATGTTTGGTTTAAACAATCTGATCTGTTAGACTTTTGACTTCGTATGGAGGTGGGTTCGGGTCCCCTGGTGCCGTAGGTTGGGGTTCTTTCTTTTTGTCACCAATTTCCTCAGCTTTAGTTTCATGTTCGAGTGGATTTAAGTTGGATGTTTCGATCTCGGCGTTATAGACTCTGTAAATCAGAAGCCCCATGACTACAAGCACAACTGAAAATTTTGTTGTTTTATTATCAGCTTTAAACATGATGCAGAAGTTAACTTACGGATATATGTTAAAAGCACCAGAATATTCGTATCCTCATATTGTTGCCTGATTTCATAGATTATTGTTGCAATATAAATCACCAATGCTCTCAACCAAAATAGGAGAATGTTGCGTCTGTGTTGATTTTTAGCAAGCAGAGCTCCGAAAATAAGGACTCCAGATGCGGTAATAATCAGAGATCTACCACCCTGAGCCGGCAGCCTATATGCTGTAAGAACATTTCAAAACTTGTATTTACTCTGAAATGAACCTGCTTCTTACCTCCCGGAAGCCAATAGAAGGGGTCCACCGCTACCAAAATGTTGATCAGGCCCACGGTCAGTTCCACTATTTTCCCCGAAAGAAACATTTCGCTTCGGACGATCGATCCCAACTGAGCAACTATAAGGCCCCCTGGTTGCTGTAAATTCTTGTTCATATAAACAAAATAAACGTATACAAGTTAAGTGTAAACAGAGAGATTGACTCTTGGCACCTCTATAGAACGGCTTGATTTCTTTTCTCAACTCATTTGACACCGAACACAGAAGGGCGGAAACCTACGAAAAGTTCATAAAACCAAATGAATGCATAACTAATTCGACGGCACACACTTGCTCACACATTGTGCATTCATGTTTATTTGATGGATGAACTTTTCGACACTTTGTGCATTAGAAAGTTTCACTAGTTTGGACTTTAGTGGCAATTATATTTACATTCAGCCAACTCTGGCTCTGAGCCCTTAAGTTTTTCGGCTTTGACGCCGGGCTAAAACAGGTGCCGGTTGCAAAGATTCCGGGGCTAAAAACTTTTCCAACTTTGAGTTTTTAATTAGAATTTGTTTCCACCACCGGAGCCTGACGTTGTTGAAATACTCATGCCTATGGGGCAATGCATCACCAGTAATAATAAATAAAATACTTTTAGGAAATTCCGTGCAAGAATTGAGTGGATAATTTATGAATATTTTGTAATTAACAGCCAAAAATTTATCATAAATTTCCATATAATTGCATTTTTATGGCATCAAGTTTTCGTCTTCGTTGCTCAAAGTCATTATAAATAAACGTGACGGGTGAGTGGTTGGAAAAATATAAGGTCTGTGGATGTTGTCAGTATCTTTGAGATTTTGGGCTCTTAAAGCCTCTTGCTTATATACTTAGCTTATTCGTTAAGGAGAGTATTTCAACATCGTTGTTCTTTTACTTTTTCGTGCTCTCACATTCCTTTGATTTACTTATTTTATCACTACGTGTTGGGTATATGTGCTTTATAAAAAGATTTAAACATGATGAAATCAATATAATTTTCATATTAGAAGACTTGTTACTCCTACTTTAAGAAAAAACATTACTAAAATAGAATATATAATGAAATTTAATAGGAGTACAATAAGATGATGTACTTATTTTCCATTAATTAAAGATAAGCAGTTAAATATTTTATTGTAATAAAAATCTTTTTCGAAATCTTTATGCCTGTGGAGAGAGTATTCTGTTTTTCGTAGATAATACATTTTGCTTTCTCAGTTTGATGGTCAGTGTGCAGTTCTTGATTGTGTATTAATTTGCCAGTTTATTAGGCGTAAATACGAAAATTGCGCAGAACTTTGACCATAAAGCGAGATCTCCTTAGATGATTCACGGGTCACACCCCACGCCCACTTTTCAAAGACGCTGATTTTTCACCAAAGTGGGCCCTGTGCAAATCTCAAGCTGAGTGCGGCGAAATGTAGCTCATTTATTTCATTTAAATGCGCATTTAAATCTATTTAAAACTCCACATGAGCCAGTCACAAAGCCAGGCCGCTCAGAAGGAATCGGAATAAAGGGCAAATAAAAGGCAACGGGGCAGGACAACAACTGACATGGGCTGAGGGAGTCCTGCTCCTGTTCCTGCTCCAGCTACCCCTTATCCGGCACCCACTTCGTGCCCCATCTTTCCCACTCAGCATGATTTAACGATAATGAAGGTATTTACGAGTTCAGCCTCAGCCCGGGACTTGGGCCTTGGCTTTTTTTTCCAGCTCCGGGGCCGGGGCAAAAGCAAAACTCATCATAATCCAGCGGCAGCAAAAGGTTATCCAAAACACACAGCGGCACATTTGGGGACTTGTATCTACGTGTGTCCCGGCACTTGTGAGATGTTCTTGCCAAACTTTTTTGTTGACGCCGTTGATAAGGACAACAACTACTCAAAGCCGCCAGCTGAGCCTGAATCCCGACCCGAAAGCGCCGTATATATTTATGGATTTGGGCCAAGGTGGCTGCCAAGCCCAAAGGCGCACATTGCTTGCCAATAAAACTCAATTTGCCATAAAATTGTTTCACAGTCAACATAATTACAACAGCTAAAGACGAGCATAAATTTGATTTTCCAATTTACGATTAGGCGGAGCTCCATTTTCAGAGCCATTTAATATATGGCGGGGCGATGAATGCGAAATGTTCACAAAAATATTAATATCTAGCGTGGAAAATTTCATTTCATTTCTAGGGCAAACACCTTTCGTTTATCGCCTCTCCCCCCTCACTCACACTCAGCCCCATCTCGCTCCCTCCTTTTTTACCCGCTCGTATGCATTTTTTATTACAGAGTCTGCTCTGGATATCCACTTGGCACTGCGCGGATTTTAATGTCCTTCTCAAGGGAAAATCTACTGCCTATAAAGTCAGACGGGGAAGAATAGACACTTAACCAGCGCTAGACCTTCGTGAAAAATTACAGGGTTATATTGATCAGCTTCTATGGCTAGTTAAATACCCAATAAACTATAAAGGGTATAAGTATATTAAGGTATTCTATGGATACTTTACATTTTATTTCTCGTTCTAGTCGTTTTTGTAATTTGTTTTTTCGCTGGTACCGATGATATCGATGGTGGTTACTATCGATACCCAAACCTATCGATGTTTTCAATGTTTTTAATGAAAAGCTCAAATGCGTTTAACAAAAAGATTTCTTATCAATAAATTATTATTATTATTGAATCCACGACATCCTTGTAGCACAAGGATTATTCATTTAGTTCATGTATAAGTATTATATACATATCTGGTCCTTCTATAATGCTGCTATTCCTTTCAGTACCTTGAAAAACCGATTTGTCGTATAAAGCGTCTGAAATTCGACACAAATTTGGCGCAAGGAAAAACTTTAAAAACGGGAAAAAACGAAAGGATACTCTTGTGGCGAAGGCCGAGTTAATTGCAAGTCCTTGAGATGCATTCGGAATCGAAGTTCTTTTTTCAGTTAAGCATGGCAAAAGTGGGAGAGGATGGCAGCAAATGGCAAATGGAACGGAAGTGCCAGCCCTCAAACAAACGACACGGCAAAGACAATGGCTCACTTACGGCTCTTAGCCCGCTGGCTGTTGGCCAAAATGCATTTGGGCAAGGAAATCCCCTGCTGATTGCCGCTGCTTTGTGGCAATCCCACAGCTTGCTGGCATTATCCGAATAACCGCAATCACCAGAAAGATGCCTTGGTGCAGCACACGTTGCGTATACGCAACGGAATTCCTTGGAAATGCCTGAAAGGCATTTCATTTGCGCGCCGTTTGTGTTGCACATTTTCAATTATAATTATTAACGGATCGCTGTTTGACTCTGGCTTCGTCGGGGGAATTATTTGCATTTGCATTGTGTTTTCCCGGTCGTTTCTTTTGTGCCCGGCTCTTTGGCGAAATCACCTGAGTAATGCACTTGATGCTTGCGCAATTTCCCTCTTGCATTGTCCTTGCGCGTTCTGCATTCTTTTTCTACTCCCACTACCAATTGTTGTTGTTAGTTTAAGTGGTTGTTGCTGGGCGGGGCACTTGTAGTTGCGATTGCTGTTTTCCCCCCATTTCGCCAAAGGCAACTTTTAACATTTAATGATGCTGCTTTGTATTTTAATACGCTTTGCCTGCTTGGCATGTTCATGCCACACCGCCCATCGCCCATCGCCCACCGCCCACCACCCACCGCCCACAGCCCACCTGCCCCTTTTTTTTCTGTCCGTGTTACCGCATCCCCCGTCGCCGCCCCTCAACCAGCACGTGCCATAAGCAGCGCTTTGAAAACTTTTAAGTAGACAAGCCATGTTCGCCGCCCCGGAGGTTCCCCATCCTTTCCACATCTTCTATTACTTGTCCTGCCTTTTGCGCTTTAAGTTGTCTGCTCAGTTCCAATTTTTCCAGCCGCCTGCCAAGGTGTTTGAAGCAATTTGCGTCGCCCGTCTCGTGTTGCAGTTGTCTGTCCGACCACCCGGCCCCCGTCGGTCGTCCTGGCCACGTCCTTGACAGCAACTCTTCGGCCCGGCCAGCCACCCACCCTCCGCCGCGGCACCCCTTCGCCAGCCCACAAGCCGGCGCCCACCTCACCGTCAGCCTCCCGCGGCGTGCGGTGTGCAGATTGTGCCAATTTCACCTGTTGCCGGCAGGACCGCCCGGGAAAAATGCACTCGAAAAATATTAATAGCTAAGGGTTTTCGAGTCACAGTCAACTAATAAGAAAGCAGGTAAAATACAGTAGAGTCTTACAGTTTTATGGTACAATCGAGTACCTCGATTATCATATACCCGATGCTCAGCTAAAGGGACCAAAGGGAGATGGAGATGTGCAAGCAGCAAAGCGGGATTGTAATGCGCCACCTACCCGCGATCTCAATAAATGCTTATGTGGGCGACAGACAGATTTAAGCGTTACGGGAGTTAGAATGGGCGGGTCAATCGATAGGTGTTGACGAGATTAATACATTTCTGTTACAATTTTTTATCAAGCATAAATATTGTGGGCACCACAGGTTTGGGCGGGTTGTGCTCGTTAGAGTGGGCGTGGCATATTCGCGTAACAAACCTGCGCTGCGTACAAGGCTACGGAATCTAACTCTGAAATTCCAATTCTCTATCTTTGATAGTTTTCGAGATAACCGCGTTCATACTTACGATTTTTTGAAGTTTGTGGGCGGTTTTCGGGCGATAAAGTGGGCGTGGAAAACCGATACGTATTGATGAGAACAATACATTTCATCTTAAATTTTTGTTCTAGCACTAAAACTGTAGGAACAAACAGACGAAACAAACTTGCGCTGCGCAGGAATCTCTAAATTCTGCATGCCAAATCCCAGTATTGCAGCTTTTATAGTTCATACGGATAGACGAACATGGCTAGATAGACTCGGCTAGTGATCCTGATTAAGAATATGTATACTTTATGGGGTCAGAAACGCTTCCTTCTACCTTTTACATACTTCCCGACAAATCTAGTATACCCTCTTACTTTTCGAGTAACGCGTATAAATACATTTGGTCCTGCCTTTTTATTCAATTACACAGTGAAACTCGAAAAAAAATCTGAAAAAACTCGTTAATGTTCTACACAGGTATCTTATAGTCGAAGCACTTCCTTGGAGCGTTTTGTTTTGATATGTAGATAACAAGAATAAAAATAATAATTAAAAGTAATAATAAAATAAAAGAAAGTTGTGAATTTCGTTAAAAAGGGTAAGGGTATTTATGGTAAGGTGACGAACTCGTCAAATCGCATATGTGAGGCAACGTCAAAACTTCCAAACAATTTTCGTAGTTTGTTCGTGAGATAATTTTGACATAATAGGCGGAGTAAAATGTAAAAATTATATTCAATTTATATATGTT